TAGCCAATGCTAACATATAGCATTGGCAGACCTCTCAAAAACGTCTTTACAGGATGGACCAAAAGTTGGCTCTTGGCCCAAAGCTCCGTTCCACATGTGTGTCAATGCTGAGGGGGGTGGATTTTTTTGGTCCACTCTAGTTTACTCGCTGTGAATTTTTGAAGTCTCTCGTTCAAATGAATGGAGCAGATGCGTTTTTTCACAATTTTCTTGTGGGCGGGACCACTCGCGGCCATCTTGGATTGCTCCATGAAAGCACTTTTCATGGCCAACTCCTGTGAACGGCGGAGATAGGCGTGACTCTGTCCGTTATTATATACAGTCTATGAGTAAAACACACAAAACCAAAAGTGCAGATTGACTCACCGGTAACGGGATCACAAGAAATACGCCCGCAACAGTATTCGGCTTGATTTGATTTCAGATTTAGGCTGTATTTTGTCTCAATGAATGCAAAATGACAACGCCACAGCAGGAGCAGCTTGAAAAGCAGCGGGACTGAGTAGTCGGATGTTCCAGGTTTAAAGGGACAGGTTTAAGGGAAATGGGCCCGCCAAAATAAAATGACAGGGACGGGGCAGGGACTGAGCCGCTAACTTATGTGGGTTACAATTACTTTAGTGGTAGGGAAAACCGTAGCACCTGGAGAAAACCTACGCAGACACAGGGGGAGAACCTGCAATCTCCACACATAGTACAGAGTCTTGTCTATCTCATGTCCATTAGATGAATCTCTTTCTCAATACACAACTGTTGTCAGGTCTGTGCCATGTTGCTGAGACCACATTGGACTTCCTGTTAAACCACATTGATCCGTCTCTGAGAGAATAGAAAGTAGACGCTGACAGAGTGGAACAAAGTAATAAAGATTTGCCAATTTCAAACTATTTTGTGATTGGATTTTGTTCATGGCATTAATATAAGTCATAAAACATCATTAAACATAGATTTAAAACACTAGACCAATCGTTACAAGGTTAAACAATGACACAGAGGTTGTTTTGTTTATTTTGGCTTTTAACTTGATAAGTAAGTAAGTAATTTTTATTTATATACCGCCTTTCACAGACCAGAGTCACAAAACGGTTTACAATTGTTATTTTTGTTTTGTTTTATTGTTATTGACCACTCCTATCCAGTGGTAGAAGTGGGAAACTACATCTTGTTGTAATATTCTAAGATCCAACCATCTTATTCAAAACATTGAGTTCTAAACAAAGAGATTTGACTGATTCCCAAAAGTAATTTAGAATCAATATGTTTGTTTTGAAGGTGACGCCAACAACTTAAGGACCATAACCTTTATGGTCCTTAAGTTGTTGGCGTCACCTTCAAAGGTTGGAGCATGATATCCTCTTCATGTTGTTTTGTATCTTTGTAAAAACCTCATCATTCTTCTGTTGAACATGTTCCAGGTCATAGCCAAGAACTCGTCTAAGCGGGTTTGAAAACTGAGCATTTTGAACAGAAGGGGTGGGGGGACGTGTTTGTGACAGATGTTTTCATGGATAAAACTACATCTTTTTGGGTGAGGGAGCACAGTTCTGGTTCTCTAAAGAACAAAGTTAAAAGTATGCAGTATGTGAGGCCAGTAGCATTAGGGGAGTGGCATGAAAGACAGTGTGACACTCCTCCCATTATCGTAGAGATAAAAAGCCAACGCAGAGTATTAGAGGCTCAGACACCAGAGTCATCACTATGAAGACCTTCAGGCTCCTTCTGCTCTCTGTTCTCTGTGAGTAACATCAACTTTAGCTTTTAGCTCCGACTCTTCACAGCTTTTAGTGACGTCTTTGTCATTCACAGATGTCAGTGTTCGATCCACTTTGCAGAATCATCTATTGCAGGTTCATCAAGGAGAGACTATTACTTTGTCGTGTTCAAACTACTCTGAAGATGCATCTCAAGTGGATTGGTTTAAACTGCAGATTGGATCTAAACCTTGCTTCATTGCATCAGTTTTTGGATCTGACGGTGAACCTTCCTATTATTCTGGATTTACAGACAGGAGGTTTCACATGAGCTCCAATAAATCTGATGTGTTTCTGAGAATCCAAGAAGTAAAGCTCTCTGACTCCGGTCGGTACTTGTGTAAATTCCATAAGTCCAGGAGTCGAAACATAACCCTTGAAGAGACGATATGGCTAAATGTTTTCAGTAAGTAACACAATTATAAGAAACACATCGAGCCATTGGTGCTATGTGTTCAAAGTTGGATCACAAACTTTTTAAATTGAAATAAATCAAAATACTAAAGTGTCCTTGAATTTCAACCACCGACGCAGATTCATCCATCCCAACAATGGGAGAAAAGTCTCAAAATGGAGGTAAGGATTCTAATCACGTCATATATTTCTTTTGTCATGTATTTCTTTTGTCATGTATTTCTTAAGCCCTGTTTCCACCAGCCCTACTTGGCCCCACTCTACTTTACTCGGCTTTCCCACCAGCCTTGCTTTAGTGCTATCCTCAGGTGATGATTGTGATTAAAAGTAATATAAAAAAATACTCTAGGGTTCATGGGAGTTCGCCCAACCTGTCCACATGTGCTTTGTGGATTTGGAGAAGGCGTTCGACCGTGTTCCCCGGGGTGTCTCCTTTCGGGGGTTCTTCGGGAGTACGGGGTTCGGGGTCCTCTGCTGAGGGCCATCCGGTCCCTGTATGACCGGAGCCAGAGCTGTGTTTGCATCGCCGGCAGTAAGTCAGACCTGTTCCCGGTGAGTGTTGGCCTCCGCCAGGGCTGCCCTTTGTCACCGGTTCTGTTCACTGTGTTTATGGACAGAATTTCTAGGCGCAGCCAGGGGTCGGAGGGGGTCCAGTTCGGGGACCACAGGATTTCATCTCTGCTGTTTGCAGACGATGTTGTCCTGCTGGCTCCAACGAACCAGGACCTGCAACATGCACTGGGGCGGTTTGCAGCCGAGTGTGATGCGGCTGGGATGAGAATCAGCACCTCCAAATCTGAGGCCATGGTGCTCGACCGGAAAAAGATGCCTCTCCCTCTACAGGTGGGTGGAGAGGTCCTTCCTAAAGTGGAGGAGTTCAAGTATCTCGGGGTCTTGTTCACGAATGAGGGAAGGATGGAGCGTGAGATTGACAGGCGGGTCGGTGCAGCATGCGCAGTGATGTGGTCGCTGTATCGGACCGTTGTGGTAAAGAGGGAGCTGGGGGCAAGCCGACTTAGCTGGAACATAGACAGGAGGTCGAGAGCTGACTGGACATTCAGGGACAAAATACAACTGAATCTGAAGAGACACGGAGCAGCAGGTGAGTATAAAGACATCCACATACAGTAGGTCTGATCTGAATTTCACAAGAGCTGGATGCACTACCGACAGAGATGGAGTTATCTGGTAGAGTGGACAGACCAGTGGACAGACCAGTGTACGGAGTGAGTGATGAGGTGTAGGTGTGTCTCTTCTGCTGCTCTCATGACAAAATCCCGGTCAGTTTTTAAGCAGCTTCATAACCTCTGCTCTCGCCTGCACTGTTAATTATTGGTGGGTAAGTTGAGGTTGCCGAGTACCTCTGAAATCCACCTCTACAGGTTATTCACACATATCGGGCAGGCGCACATTGGAACTTCTACTCTTGTTCTAGTCAAAGCAGTACAGGTTTACATTTTCGTTTTAGCTTTTTCTCTCGGCCATCCAAATCGTCAGCTGCCAAAAATCTGGCAAATGTTGATTCGAGATCTTTTCTATGTCATCATGTCACGTCATTGTCTTCCCCTTTATTAATCAATTTCTGGGTCGGGGGGTGGCAATAAGAGCTGCCACCCAAGTCTCTTAGCACCAGTCCCTCGCTGATCCTCCTGCAGGGAGTGGATCCACGAGAAGATGGCTTTTCCGTCATTGAAGACATTGGCCTTGATCTTTCAGTGGGGGCTTCAGGAAATGTGGGGTTAAGTGTCTTGCCCAGGGACACAACGACAGCAGACATCAATGGGAGCAGATGACATGGGTCACTGTGGGATCAAACCCACGACCATTAGGTCCAAAGACCAGTGCTCTACCAACTGAGCTACTGTCGCCCCAGAAAACTTTTTTACTTTTTGTGTAATCACAGCTTGCAGAGTTTATGGCAGCCAGAATTTCTCATGAGCAATCTTAAGCATTTCCATTGCTAGGTTTGGGAATAGTTAGCTCTACCGTAAGTCTGGTAGAACTTGGAAGATCCTAACCCTAATTTTCTGAAGACTCAGCTAAGGCAATCTGGATTCTTGTGTTGAGGAAAACCTTGTCTAGTCCATTAATAGTGGCCGTCTGGTGGTATGTTGCTATAAAGTTACACCTGAGCCCTGAGTGCATATGTGGTTAGAAGCGCACTTTACCCGGAAGTCCCTGAATTGTTACTTTCACTCTATTATTTTCTCAATTTTCTTTGTGTTTCACTTCTGTCTCATCCTGCTGCAAGTTAAAGCTCATCTTGGAACCTTGATAAGATCCAACCAAGCAGACAAGAAGCAGACTTTTCAAAGCATTTTAAACAGACATTGCAAAGGCTAAATCCGTTTGACCATCTTGATGCATGCGTCTGTTACATGCAAAGGGTGAGGTCGAAAGACATATGCAAGCTTTTTTTAACATCCTGGTTTAGTGTCAAAACGCACAGAAGACAACGCTCCACCCACATGAACAGCCTCTTTGCTGAACTCGAGGCTCAGACCAGAGTTATCACTATGAGGATCTTCACATACTTTCTGCTCTCTGTTCTCTGTGAGTAACACACTTTTGCTTTTATCTCCAACTCTTCACAGCTTTTAGTGATGGTCTTTGTCATTTGCAGATGTCACTGTTCGATCCATTTTGCAGAATAATGTAATGGAGGTTCATCAAGGAGAGACCATTACTTTGTCGTGCTCAAACTACTCCAAAGACGAATCTCAAATGAATTGGTTTAAACTTGAGAATGGAACTAAACCTCGCTGCATTGTGTCAATTTTTGGATCTGACGGAAAACCTTTATTTTGTGATGGATTTAAAGATGGGAGGTTTGAAATGAGTTCCAATATAACGGACGTGTTTCTGAGAATCCAAGAAGTTAAGCTCTCTGACTCCGGAGTGTACAGCTGTAGATTCTACATTAAGCTCGACTCAGTTCTTGAGAACAAGATGTACCTCAATGTGACCAGTGAGTAGACTTGGATTGGAGAAATATGTGTCGTTCAGCGGCAGAAACAACCAAGCTGAGTGTCTGGTTATGTCGATCAAAGCAAATATGTAGCTACAGCAGACAACTGTGATTTCTTGTCAGTGATTCTGAAATGTTGTTTGTCAAAGGTGAGGATCGTCCGGTCGGCAACAACACGGGTGAGCCTCATCTTCTGTGAAACACTGCTAAGGTTTGGTGTCACCACATAACTGCATGTTTCCCACGACATCTCAGATTTGTAATTGCACAAGGCTTTTCTAATCAACAGTGAACCTCTTGACACAATTAGCAAACACAAAGTACCATTGATGACTGGTGGCAGTTCCAGAAAGGGCAGGTGTGGCTCCAGGTTTTAGATCCAACCTGAGTAGGAGCACGGTGGCTGAGTGGATAGCACTCTCGCCTCTCAGCAAGAAGGTCCTGGGTTCGAATCCCGGTTGGACTAGGGCCTTTCTGAGTGGAGTTTGCATGTTCTTCCCGTGTCTGCATAGGTTTCCTCTGGGTGCTCCGGTTTCCCCTACCACTAAAAATATGTACAATAGGTCTGGGATGTGCCTCCTGTACTGGCACCCCTGCTCCCAAAAATAACAATTGTAAACCGTTTTGAGACTCCGATGTGCAGTGAAAAGGCGGTATATAAATAAAGATTACTTACAACAAGCTCCACCCATTTCCTCGGGTGAGTCCAGTTTTAAGATTTGAGGAAATGGTTGGAGTCTGCTCAGGTTGGAACTGAATCCTGCAGCCACACCAGCCCTTTGAAAACCAGTTTGACTGTCCTGATCCATATATTCATTCAAAGTTAGCCTCCTTTTTTGGGGATCAGAAAGAGTGTAGTAAAAGTAAAATTTTGTGAACACATCTCAGTGGAATATTGACTCTTAGGGTTGAGAGCTGATTGGCTTATTTTCACTTTTCTGCCTGAAAAAGTTGATCTAAAGAGGTGACAAAGCCCCTTAACACATACATAAAAACTAGTGATTGAACCAAAGCGTGGAACGATTGAAATGGAGGGAGAGAGAGAGAGAGAGACCCCACAGGCTTCTGATTGGACGCCATAGAATTCATATCCTTGATAGACAGCTGAGGCCCCTCCCCATTGGCTTAACTTCTTGCTGGTTCTTACTGGTGGTGGATAATGAAGATGCCTCCTGACCAGAGAATATGGGTTGTGTTGCCGCAGCTGTCGTGGGATTGGACTGTGAGACTTTAAACACTGTACTGACTGCTCTCTGCCTCACAGAGACTGAGACCAGGTGTCCCACTGACCATGTGGTCCCTGTCGTTCTGGGCGGAGTCACTGCTCTGTGCATTGTCATAACTGTCGGCCTGAGCTTGAAAATCCTCCGCCTCCAAAAAGGTAATGTTTTTAATATCGATTTTGGATCAGAGAAACCCAGACTGTAAAGTGTGTTTCTTTATTATGTTTTTGCAGCAGCCAAAGACCAAACAGTTGATACAGCAGAGGTAAGATTTTCTGTTTTGAAATCTAAAATACCATGTGTGAAAGTGAGGTGGAGGTTAATATGTTGTGTGTGTTGATCAGGGCTCTCTGGTGGCTGCTCGTGTCTTCATGGCCACGTCTCTGAGGAGCAGGCGTCCAAACACACCGGAGCACACACACGTCGTCTACACCGTAATCAAATAGAAGCATGTTGAAAATAAGGCCGAACCATTCATCAAGATTTAAGTTTCCTGATCACATTTAGCAAATCGCAAATCGGCAAAAAAAAAACACTTGGATTTGGAATAAGTCTTTATATTTATATGTATTTGGAAGTACCTGTTTTTAGTAGAAAGGTTATTTTCTTGTTCCAATTGAGACTTCTCCTTTTCATTATTTACATTACTAATAAAATATACATAGAGTACAGCTTAAGTCTGATCATTCAAGTATTTTGATGTTTGATAAGGCCATAATAATAATAAATAAATAAATGCTTACTCAGCTGTCCTTGAGGTTCAGAAGACTCGGACAGGGAGCCAGTGAAGTTGCTTAAGGATGGGGTGATATCTCTGAAGCGGGTGTGGGTGAACACATAGGGGTAAGGGTGTTGGGTCAGAGATTGTTTGGGCCTCTGTGTATAGGTTTGTGTCCTCTACCATATATGCAATTGTGTTACTTTTCTACTTTTGTTTTTTAATAGTTTCTTAACCATTTTGATCGGTGTTGGGTTGGAAGTGTATTAGGGTCCGGTTCATCCAACCCCTTTTCAAAACATGTACGGAAGTCTGTCAATTTGTATTGTACATTTTCTGAAATAAACATTGTGATTGATTAAAAACATATTCATTTGAAATGAGATGGCTTCACACAACTACAGACAATAAATGGGGAAACAATATTTTTTGTTGGATATATAGAATATGTCCAAATAATGATATCTATGTGCGTATGTATGTATCCTGTGTATGTGTGTGTGTGTGTGTCTATTTGTGTATGTGTGATTGTTTGTGCGTGTGTGTGTCATATTTATTACCATAAACATAAAGATTTGATTTTGAATTGTCTTACTGAAGTTTCACAAACAAGTAATGGAAGGAAGTCCAAGGATACACCAGGGAGGTCAGGAAGGAGGTCCAAGAAGACACTAGGGAGGTCAGGGAAGAGGTCCAAGGAGCACACCAGAGAGGTCATGTTGTGCGTAGAGATTGTTGCCAATGAGTTAAAATAATTACAGCTGAAGAAGAGATTCTTATTATGGACAGAGAGCAGTTCTTTATCGTAATGTTATAGACTCAGCACTTAGTATTTCTTTCCTTGTTTTCCATAGTTCAGGGAGGTCAAAGTCAAATACATCAGAGGCCAAAAAAAAACATTTGCCAAGGGCTTTTTTGCCGGACTGGTTCAATGTTTTTTAAAACATGTCAAAATGATGCGTATAACGTATTGAACCAAGACCTCACACTGTGGACCTTGCAAAATGTGTTCAAGCAACAGGGAAAAACTGTTCATCAAACTAAAATCATCAACAGACAGTACGCAGAGACTGAGGAAGCTCATTCCAAAGACGAGGAGCAACTGCCTGGAAGGATCTGTCTCCTCTGGTTTTAGTCTGGGACTATCAACAGGTTTTGAGTGGAGGACCTCAGGCTCCTGTTGGAGACATAGGCTTGGATCAGGCCCTGGATGTATTCAGGCGCCTGACCATGAAGAGCCCTGAATGTCAGCACTAGAAATTTCAAATTAATTCTGTGTGAGACAGTGAGCCAGTGTAAGGACTTCAAGATAGGATCTTTTTTACTAAGACATGTAAGCAGGCTGTTACAATAGTCCAATAGATTCAGATTCAGATTCATTTTATTCGCCATTTGCAGTAACACTACATTGGAATACATTAGTAAAAGTTCCCAGTGTGCACAGGACAAGTACAGACATAAAACAACATTAAAAGACAAAAATAAAACAAATTTTAAAAACAGTAAACAAATGTCACTGTGAAGTTGACCAACTAAAACAGGCGCCATCTTGGATTCAGTCACAGGTGTGTTTCTTATGGCTCTGTGCGGACGGTCCTAATACTAATCAAATACTATCCCGAGGGCCAAGGGTCTGTAGTATAAAAGTTTTTTTTTTTTTTTTACATTAACAATAAATAGTTTATGTAAAGTTATACAATATGTGGCGTTTAATAAACATATTTATTAAACGCCACATATTGTAATTAATAAACATATTTACAGTATTTACAGGAAAAAAACACATTTCAAAAAGGTCTCCTGGCTTACCTCCTCTGTCCCAGTTCAGACTCACACTGACAGTAGAGGCTGGCCTGCTCTTAAACCCTTCTGGCTCCTCCCACATGTCAATTAAGTTATAAACTTACAGATTCTACTTAAACTGAAGTTACACTCACCTTACAAAAAATATGGATCCACAATAAACTCTTCCTACTATAGAGTTATCCTTTGCACCTGTAGACAACAGAGGAAAAATAATAAAATACATTTTCGAACAAAACTGAAAAATACGATGACGTCATCAATGATGTCAGACGCAGTATTATATTAAAAAATGACGTGTTCAAAATCCCTTATAAAGATGACCATGATTCAGAAAGTTAAATTCAAAAAGGTTTATTTCCCTAATACAAAAAGAATCTAAAACAGCTGTCCGGACCAAAAAGTATCTAATCCCTATCCTCTATATAAGGTGTAACATTGGTTGGGCGCTCCACCAAGTCACACAGCTAAACCCTGATCCGGACTGAAAAACTAACACACACATTCAAGCTATTCATTAAGTAAATGTGCAAAGGGAAGAAGGGGCGTGTCGTATCAGTCAGCTCTTGGTCCAGGGTCCGGCCTCCATCAGGTCTTCTCCGTCTCGCCAGACCTAAACAGAAATCATTCACGCACTACCCCTCCCTAATTCTATAGATTTATTAGTTCCTTTGAGATAAGGCAGAGGGATCTCAAGGCTTCTCCTCCAGATTCTGGACTCCATCTCCTTCTTTCACAACTTGAAAGGATTAGCAGAATCCCCCCAGATTAACTATCATTAACTCACCCATGCACTTTGGACAAAATGGGACAAGGGGAGTAGGGCAATACAAGGTTTTCTTTTTGCTTGGAGACAGACAGAGTTCAATTTCAGGTCAATCTAATTCACATCGCCTTTTAGCCTATATTTAATACAACAGTCCCCTCTTTTGGCCGCTATTAAAAAAGGCCACACATTTCAATAACCTTCCTCAGGCGACGGGACGGGGGAATCCTCAACCAATGCAAGCATTTGACCTCTCAGTCCAGGGTTAACAGCGGTGTCTATAGCTTTAACACAAAGAGAACGTATACAAGGTATACAGCAGCATCCTACAACCATTATTATTGCAAAGATGGCCGCAAGGCTTGTGATAACAGACAAAATTACATGCTTCCACTTCCCCAAGATGCTGTCCAGCCACGCCTCCAGTGGGTTCTCCGGGACTCCAGAAACGTCATGCATTTGCTCTGACAGCATTTTGAGACCAGCCAGAGCCCTGGAAACTGATCCATCTGGATGTGTGTTATTTGGAATGTATACACAACATTCTGTACCAAATAAACTGCAGACCCCACCTCTCTCTGCTAAGAGCATGTCTAGAGCCACTCTGTTTTGAAATGCTACCAGAGAGGTGGCCCCCAGCTGCTCCGCCAATCCCTCTATTGCGTCCCTGGTGTGATTGGCAAGCCTAAGCATAGTATACCAAATGAAATTAATTCTATCTACATTTTTGTTTGGCGTGATAGGGAAAATAGCGGAAATTATTGGAAGATTTTCGAAACCTGTTGCAACTTGATCTACCAGTTTGAATTCCTGAGGGACTCCACGTGGAACACCTATAGAGTCCATGTAAGTTGGATTATCTTTCCCAGTATCTAGGAATGGTATTGCTCTTTTAAATCTATGCAGTGGGTGGGGACTGTCTAGGGATGGCTTATGGCCAATTATGGAAATGGGCATCATTAATCGCACCATTGCACAACTGCCTGTAAAATTTTTTATTAGTCTATGTCTAAGTTTTAAATCTCCACACAACCAATACAAATCACCTCTGGTCCGGGTCATGGGGACCGGACTGGGCAGGGTGACGTTGTTGACACACCAGTCTGCTGGAAGGAACCCCCACTGGAGACGCGGCCTCGTCCCTCCATTGAGTGAGTGGAAACAGGTGTAATTGCTTTTCCTGTGGGAAAACATAGGGGGCTGAATTTCTGAATCCAATTCTGGAAACAATACTTCAAACATTGAACAGTTGCTAGGGACTGTCTTTGTCTCCTCAGTCAGGTCCTTTTCTTGCCAAAACAACTTTATCATACAATTATAACCATCTACATCTTCTGGGAAAAGTGGAGCCGGGGCTGTATACAAAGTGGGACGTGCAGTAGAACACACAACACAATCGTCAAAGCCAGCAGCCGCTGACATGTGCTCCACTGTCCACAACCAAGCGTTTCTATCCCCATATCCAGTTGCTTGTTTTAACAATTCAGAAACAGTCCAGTCAGCAGTCACCTGTACGTTTTGTTTGTCTTGCCATACTTCACTATCTATGGCCTCCTTGTCTAGCTCCTTGTCCTCGGGTATGGCAATTGAAATCCATTGTCTAATGTCTCCTGGATAATGTCCAATAACGTAAGTCCCATTCACATCAATCCCACAATTTTTCACAGTGACTAGCACCGTTGTTTGTGAGTGGTCTGTAGTCAGAATCACTCGTCCCTTCAATCTGTGTTCATTATTATAACCCCAATCAGGACCTGTATTGGATATAACATACTCCCAAGCATCACAGGTGCAGTCCACCGATGCTCTAAAGCTTTTTCCATGTCTCTCATATTTACATGTTGACGGTGTGTAACACAGGTAGAGTGTGTAGTCAGGTCGAAAGGATAATGGAAAGATTGTTGCCATTGGTATGTGGGCTGTAATTGTCGCACCCACCGGGCATTTTACTGTCACAACCGTAGGTAGAGAGTCTCTAACGCTGCCTTCTCCTATGGATCTTTTATTTCTGTCAGTCTTATTGGACCAAAGACTGGATTGTGTTACAAGTCTGGCCCTGTCTCTTAGCTGTGTGTTTTCTAACACTTCCCATGTTAAAATTCCCAGGACCACGACCAAACCAACTGCAGCGATAGCCCATAGGATGGCTCTCCCTCTTT